AATAATTAATTAATTTAACAGATTGCGATTTTACCGGTAAAACACCATCCGGCTAAGAATATGTGTGCAAAAAATAAATATGTTAAAAATAAAATAAATAATACAAGTTTCCCTTCAAAAAGTTTAACAAATCTGTTATGCATCCCTTTGTTAGTGTATGTTTTATTGTATTGATGCACGTGTCCGCGTCTGGGAATATATTCTTCAACTTCGTCAATATCAAGTGTTACAATAAATGCTACACTTGTGACAGAGGTAACAAATCAGAATGTAAAGTATAGAGAAAACATGCCCACACATACTCGGAATTGTAATGTCATTTGAATTGTATTTTATACATTTGCTTTCACATTTTTGAGCCGAACATTTGATTTAGGGTGTCATCCCATGCTGACAAGCAGTTGCATTATAGGGGATAGTGTACCTACCTCGCATGTTAACTGAATGCGGCTTTCTTATTTGCAAAACTTACGCATATACTACTGTCAGCAACCTTTACAACCATGAAGATGATATATTTCAAAAGTGTAACTAAAATTATTGATGAATAAGCAAAGAATAAAACAGATTAAAGAAATCTTTGAACAAGCTCATGTGTGTTATTGAAGGTCTGAAGTATTCAGAACAAATTTTGTAACGCATTACACGCATATAGAAGAAAAAGTCAACATTTAATACAAAAACGACATTGGTAAAAATGCATTTGTTAATCAATATAATATAAATATAATAAAATCTAACAAAATTTGGAAGGGGCTCCTCCAATCACACCACACACCACGAGACCATGTCCCGCCAGCAGGGAGGGTCAAGGTCTTGACCTTGATGAGTCAAAGAATTCCTGCTGCGTAGCCGGGATAAGATGGGAGATGGCCAAGGCGATGGCTGCCAAGTCCTGAAATAGTGGCAGAATGGATTTCTTGAGCCCGGTGAAACGTGACGCAGAAACAAAGTTAAAAACAAGATGAAGGTTGAAGAAATGGAGAAGTGGTGGGAAAGGAAATTGATTGAAAACCAAACGATGCTTAAGGCGTTAATAACTGAGACAAGCATAACAAAGTAATCAATCAGATACGCTACCGGAGGTGTGCAAAAACGACACTAGTTGATCTGCGAAAACATTGCTGTGATAGGTAAAAAACGAGATGCGATAGGTTGAAAGCATGACAGCCAGAATCCGGATTAGGCCCCAAGCTCAGGCCATTTCACAAAATTGATTTCAGCAAACCAAAATTACACCTAAACTCTATATTTAATTCAAACTCCACTATGAATAAACATATTGCAAAAAGAAGAATATTGTTTGGACTAAGTTAATCTTGACTTGCCAAATAATACTGGTTAAAAATAGGGTTAGAACGTTCCTGAATTATTCAAACTAGCTCAATACAGCCTCTCCCTTGTTACAAACGACCACGATTGTGACAGTTGTACTGCTTTCACAAATGTTAGCAAACAAAATCACTTAAGTTAAACCCACACAGCATTTCTGGGCAGGCACTAAGTGAGAGAAATTTATAAACAGAAGACATACATCTGTTGCATGCCATTAAAGTATATAAATTACATGTTCTCGAATATCATTGTCCCATAAAAAGGCCATTGTATGCACAACTGACAACAAGTTGTACACTCATTTATGCACGATGAGAGCATCAATTAATGTTGAATAGATGAAAACTGGTGAAACGTGCTGTTGAAACTATGTGAATGACATAGTGACGGACGATATCAACATGGACCCAGTGCTGAAACCATTTAATCAGTCGATGTATATGTATTATGACGATGTGGTTTTATTAAGACTAATTGTTACCACACATGACCCTCACGTGGAATTTAGATTTGTTTATTTGAGCGTTCCTGGATACAATAATATAGTTGTAATAGGTATCGTAGTCTATCGTCAGCGGTTATTCCATCAAAAATGAAAAAATGGTTGAGGCTGCAATATTACATGAAATTTTGCTTATCATGCAGGTACACCAGATGTTTTATACATAATTTATATAATTATTGTGACTGTAACTCGACTCTTAATTGCACGATCGTAATTCTCTAATGAGTTGACAAAACGTATGGCAAGCTTGATCAGCTAAGCTTGAAAACTCGTAGTTTATTGCTATTGGTATAATAAATGTTTTTGCAAAAATGTTGAGAAACAGGTGGTGCGATTTTCATTCAGGTATTTCTAAAGCCTACCTAGGTTTAGTTATTTCCCAGACTTTATTATATATATTTATATTCAATAACATAATGTTATTTACATTGTAGCTGTTAATGTGACCTTATGTTTGAAGAGAATAAACGGTATGTATGCAATAAATCTTTCAAAATATGGCCCAAACTCGACAGCCAGGGTTGAATTGCAATATAATCACTACATTTCAGATTTTGATGGAAAGTAAATTACCAATAAATCTGAATGTGGAATTAAAAGATTGGCAGTATTTTTGTAAAAGTTTAGTTTCATATAAATACCTGAATAAATCTTCTATCATGGGAGCACAATTTTGTTCCCATTGGACAATTTTCGGTAAAAATGTTTTGCATCAGTCTTGTTATTAACAAAGTAAGTAGAATCGTTTATAACCAAAATGCATTTGTAGCAACTAGGATAACTTTTATTTAAAAACAATCAGTATCATAGACAAAACAATTTTCGACACTGAACCTGTACAGATAATGTAATTTCAGCTCCGTAATCAAAACATTATTGAAATTAATTGTTAAAATCGTTTTAAGGAATTGAATTTATGATGAATTACGCCTGTGACATGGAATATTGTAATGATGCTTCTCAAAACGGCAATACCAAATATGAAAGTGATATTCTAAATGATGAACGACTATATTTTATATATATATTTATCGTCAGCAAGAATATTGTCCCTCGCCACCGAACTAAGCTCGAATATGTACAGAACGGCAGCCATGCATCTAGTAACAGCGATGCATCATTAAGAGTGATCGCACAGCAACGATTGTTGGAGTTTCTTATGAGATCATCGTGAGTAATCCACCGGTATTCAAAATATTATACAAATCAGACACATTTTGCCTCGAGTTACACAAATGTATAAAATCAAATTTATCAGCTTTACCGCCCTCATTCGAATGGATATTAATTTCTTGTAAACGAAAATCAAACATTAATATAAAAATGTTTGTTGTAACATTTCTGGCATAACACTTGTAGTTTTACAGGTGATACCACAGAAATGATGAGAAACTACTGTCAATAAAATAACAAATTGAAGTCACACGTGTCATTACATGGCTGCTGAAAGAAAGAGAGGAATGCAAATAAAAACTCTGGTTCATGGGTGTGACAACCTCTTGCAGTAACACATAACAAATCTTCGTCTAATGGATTAATGGTCTCCGAAGTGAATACCATAGTGCTGCCACTGCTAATGCCAAACAGGATGTGTTGCTTGACGTTGACATACATGAATCATTCACCAGAGCGTATGCATATCAGGTTTCCAGCTTGTCAGAATTACCCATATTCTTCAAGATCCGTTTGTAATGATAGCTAGGTTATCAGAAGAAGAGCTTGCCAGCTCCCAAGACCACTAATAAAGGATCTTCAGCAAGAGATGCGGCTCGCACTGTAAACAACATGGTGTTGACGGCAGATCTGATACTCCCCACTGTGACAGACACGTTATATATAATTGAGGGGAGCTTGTATGCATGTTGTAACCCAGTAGTGACCACGGGAGGCGCAACAATGCTAATGGCCCAAAGCGCTTGTGGCAAACACCAGTCGCTTAGTATTAAATAATGTGGCAAATAAGTTGATGGACAATTCTTGCTAGAAGTCAAATAGGACTGGGATGAGATCTATCCCTCTATGCTGTCGATGCCTGAACCCGATTGTTGTGTTGAGTTCACCAGGTAGAACTATTAAAAAGGCAATGATAAAGTCGCAAACAACCACAGTGTTGTCAAACCACTATAGCGCTGTTCATACCACAAAACATAACTTATGTACAAGTGAACATAACACAAGCACATATACAATAATCCTGGTAAATCATAGACCTCGTTGGTAAGTTCCTACTCGCGAAATCCTCCCCACTTAGGATCAGTTAAAACGGAGGGTGACAAGCTCACTGGTTATAGAACTAGGTGTGGCACAACGCACTACTCAAAACGTCGCGTTCACTCTGACTATGGTGGGCGCGGTAGCAAAAACAAGCGTCTATGCATGAATACATTGGGGTGAATGGGAAAACTCATACTGTTTTTATTTTTCCGAAACCAAATCTGTATCTTTACATCGAACCTCAGGCCGAACATGACCGGTCGTATGCCAGGCAGACGTATGGCGATAGTCAGCTACCGCAAGCCATGATCATATATTGTTATCCAGATATCCAGATACATTTACTAATTCAAAAAAGGTTTTCAAAAATCGTAATCTAAACCTGTCATTTGCATAAAACGTCTTGTCCATCCATTCAACCTCCGACAAATACCATTTTAAATTACACCAGTGCACCCACCCTTCCCCCGATGAATATCTCTGCGTTTCCCGGCGACGTCTCTAACTCTAAATCTGACTTCCTAGTTGTTTGTATTTTGAATTACGAGTGGCCAGAAATATGTATGATACTTCGCCACTATCACTGTGAGTGTTATATTGAACTTATCGGGAAGTGCGTGGCGGATGCCGCAGCAGGCCAAACGTTTTTTTTAGAAACATCACTTATTTGTTGGTCTCCAGGAGGTTCATGTATCGCTCTCGGATTCGATTGTGCTGTGTCTGTTCATTTTGATTTCCCGGAAATGTAAATTTGCTAAATCTTGTGTTACAAGTATTGAAATTTTCTTATTGATTTTATATTTTCTTCTGTTATATCGGATTAACAATAAAAGAAATAATTCGTGCTATTCTTATCTCATCTAGTTCCCCTATGTTCGTAGAGAGATGTTTTTGCACCCTCGATAAGTGTGATCAACTCTAAATAAACCATGTGAACTGACGGTTATTGATTTTCATTTCCTTTATTTTTCAATCAATGTGACTACATAAATACATACATTGTAGATACACAATTAGAGAAAGGACGTGCACGCTGTCGTCAGATTTAGACTCCTGCAGAAAAATAAAAAAATCTATTTAGACACAGCGTGGATTATGGGTTTCATTGTGTTGATTATATATAATTAAACAGTTCCAGAACATAGCACAAACATGTTAATTTGCGCTTGATTTAACGAATATTCTCCACCCACACTCAGATGAGGAGTAGTGGGTGATGTTTCGAGACCACATAACTAAATATTGTTGAGAAACAAAAACAAAACTGTCACATTTGTGCGTTAATATTGCAAGATATAATTCTCAAGCTTCAGAATGAATATTACTCACTTGGCACACAGCACATTGTATCCTGCCCACAGTTCTCGTTACATTCAGGATCATGGGATTCCATCTCGTAGTGGCCACAACCGTAATTTACAGGCTTACAACTTCCCATGCATTCGTCGGTGCACTTATTAGGAATATGACTGTCATCTTCACCTTTTATGATAAATATTAACTTGCATTATCTTCATAAATTAATATAGGTAACTTGTATTACAATAGCTACATAGTCGATAATAATATCCAGATTTGTCATAAAATAAATACAAAGAAATAAACGATCCCGAGTATTCAACGTATTGAACAGCTGCTCTCTAATTTTGGTTGAAATATGTTCATGTCGGTTTTGATATGCTTTGTCTGAGGTTTAGATGTTGGTAAATATGTCTTTTCGTGACAAGTGCAGATTTGTTTTCCCTAGATTCCATATTATATTACTAGTTAGCATAGAAATACTATCACATCACTCATTTTACGTACGGTTCAATGGGAATTAATCGTTTTCTAATCCAGGAACTATGCTAGTATACCAAGCTGAAAACGAAGTATTTAAATTAAACGGTACTTACTACAACAAACAAGTCCCTTTGGACAATGACAATCTTTCACTGACTCGTAGTCTTGACATTCCCTGGCGCAGTGTCCATAACATGCCTCGCAAGGTAACTGGGCATTGGGAAATGGCTACAAGTATAATTAACATACAGTTAGTTCAGTCATTATAATAACAATTCCAAATACTGAATCCTGCTTAGATTTTGGTATTTGTAATTGAATGTTTTTGTTTTTGAGAAATAGTCAGAAATGTTCAGATATTTCTAAATCATTAAATAATATATCTTACCCCTTGTTTCGCCAGACATGTCAGATACAACGCTAATAACCCAGCAAGATTGAAATACAGTTTGAACATAGCTGCGATATCATATGAACAACCGCTGGCAGTGGGCACTCTGAACAACAATATTAAACGGTAGTCGCTTAAATATATTTAGTATAAAGCAATTCAAGTGAATAATTGATTAATTTAACAAACGGCAATTATACCGGTATAGCACCATCCGGTCGGAAATATGTTTGTAACAAATCTATAAATTAAACATAAAATAAATAATACAAAGTTTCAGTGAATTCAGGGGGGCATTTGTCATCAAAAAAACTGTTTTGCATCCCTTCGGTGTGACGTTTGTGTACGTTTTTACGTATCAATGCACGTGTCCGCATCTTTCTGGCGATTTGAGAAGAATATTGCGTTACGAATGTAGTCTTTAACTTTGTCAATTACAATAGAAACAATCTAAATAATGTAAAGTGCAAGGGTAGAGGAAACATGCCCATGGAATTGTAATTATTCTAATTTCATTATGTACATTTGCTTTCATATTACTAAACCGAACAAAAATCGTTTAAATTAGGTTGTCATACCATGTGAACCCTTATTTGCGAAACGTACGTCTAGACTAAAATGCAAGCGGGTTGAAAGTACAGGTCCTGTTCTTCTGTTACCCGGTAGTGATGCACCCGGAATTAACTCTATATTACCGGGTACCGTGGTTAGTGATAAGGGTGGTTACCATCACATTTCCACAGTAGCGTTTTTACTATCATGTTTTGAGCTGATATTTCATACAATAACATGTTCGTTATAATAATGATACAACTCTGCAAATTACAAAAAATCACATAATGCCACGCAAATGGTTCATGCACAGAGCGTTTATTGGACTAAACAGGCTATTGTATTGGCACTGTCTTGGCGACGTGATACTAAATTGAGAGAACTATTGTCCACGTGGTGATACAGGAATTTTGCTCTTATAAAGCGCTGTTGCATCCAGTGTGATTACATTTTAGTCCAGTTAAGAGATTATCTTACAGCCAGCAAACACTACGCAGATTTTGTCTGCAACTTGTATGCAGCAAAGTGTTGTGGACATTGTTGTGCATACGCTATGCAGCACGTCTGTAAGGTTAAAACGTTCATGAATTATTCAAATTAGCTCAATAGAACCTTTCCCAAACGACCAAGATTGTGAAAATTAAATTGCACTCACAAACGTCAGCAAAATATCACTTATGTTACACACGCATTGCATTTATGTGTATCTATTGAGCCAGAAGAATGTATAAACGGATGACAAACGTGTTTTCCATGCTACTGTAGTATATGAAAGAATCATTTGGAAAAAAAACTTTAAAAAAAACATTCCCAAATGCAGACAGAAACAACATTTTATGGACATTTTTAGGA